AGATGATACTTTAACAAACTGAAATGACAAAGTGGTACATTCTTCCTAATATCAGGAATAAAACAGGAAAGAAATTCATGTATTTTCAGGATCTCCTTCTATACTTACTCGTATATATTATAAAATGCCTGATACATTTTATTTGAAGAAAACACACACTCAGAATATGATTTTATTGGAATAATTGTTGTAGCTTTATTAATTTTAAGCATAATGACGAATGTGAACGCACTATGTTGTGGCATGGGTGGTAGTACTACTCCTTGCTGGACAGAATAATCCCAAGGCTACGTGCTATGTCTGGTATATATGTTTTTGCATATATAATACCTACATGGAGGTATTATGATACAAAAAATAGTTCAGTGCTAATATAAGGGATTTGTAACAAATCTTACATATATTTCCTAAGAATTAAAAACTGTATAATATTAGCAGTCAGAATATAGGAACACACTGGCTAATAGATGACTCCTCCTTGTCCTAGAAGTGAAAACATTTAATATTCTATGCAAATATCATACATAGCTAAGGTTTCTGTTAGAGGACAAGGATCAACTCCAGATTTTAAAATTTTATTATTGTTTTTAAAGATTTTAGAGCACTATTTAATGACTTGTTGGCCTAAGTTTTCCTACTCGTAGCCACACAGTAACCAACCACAGTTGTCCTTGGAAGGAATCAATGGAATCCTCCCATTGACTACTCTTCATTGCCACATGGAAAACTTTTCCCCACAATACAATTTTTTTAAATGGGGCTACATCTACTAGGATGTGTAAGGCAAATAATGGAAAGAAAACCAACAAAAAACCCAACACAAATGAAGCATGAAGTTTGAGGAATTTATTAGAAAAGACATAGAAACAGAAAGTGTTTCAAAGTGGAACAGAACTTTCCCATTGCCTACAACACCACTAACATTTATTGGGAGGTGGAAAGCTTCTGATGGTGATATGAATATACAAGTTTTATTACTGGATATTGTGCTTCACTGGACATCATGTAATCTTCTTAGTTTGCCCAAAGTAGTAGGCAGTGGTTAGTGGTACTTCAGATACTATTTCTTTGAAGAACCTGTATTACTGTTAGCTGAATGAAAGACTTCATCCATTAATTCTTTCCACTCTTTCTTCATGTTTTAAGACTATAAATATGAGGCACACATTAAAGTTGTCAGAATAGGGAGCTCATAATTTGCTACCTAGGGCATGCTAGTCTGCAGGACTGGTGTACTACATTTGTTTTTGAGGTAAGACAATAGTCTACATCAAACTGGACTGATGACATAAACATGGGTGAAGTAACCAGGATGAGTACAATATGGCCTGAGAAGATCAGATTAGTGATTATCGTCACATGTCTGAAGGCAGTTGGACCACAGGAGGGCCCCTCTCTGATTTTTGTGCTGAAACAGCAAAACCTCCAAACCTAACATCCCACTTTTAAACGCTATAGGAATACACCTTACTATTACTTGTCAACATTATTCCCTCTGGTATTCTCTATTTTGGGAAAAGAATAAAATATCTGTCTGGAAACCAGGAAAAAGGTAACCCTACCTTTCAGTGACAGGGCTCTTTTTGAGCATTTTCTCAATCTAAAACTCAATTTCGGTCACTTTGAAGGTTTGGGTGCCATGTACAAATAATTACAGGCATACAGAAACTGGTGTTCTTTCCCTGTTGTCAAAGCCTGCTCCTTCCTGCACTGCTTTGTTGTCATAGATTTGACTGAGAAAAAGACAACCTTACTACAGAAATTACTTATTTAAAAAGAGCAGCTAAGGCTTTATTCGCAAGTGTAAAAACATCTCCTAAGCTTTGGACTGAGTCAACATTTTAATAAAGCAAGCAAAGTGTATTTGATAATAGAACTACGGACTCAGTTCTAGTCAAGATATGAGAATAAGACATGATAAATGCATGTGCACTGACAACAGAGTGGCAGCAATGAATCACACTGTCAGGGAGAGCAGGAAAGAGCTTCTATTGGAAAGATGGAAAAGAAGCCAGGAAAGAGAGGGTGGAGACCATTATCTGGCACGGTCACTGATGTGTTCTTGCCAAAAGTGGTAGCTATTTTAATCATTCAGTAGGTGAGATAGCAAGAATATGAACAGGATACTAAACACAAGTTGATGACAGACAGTCTCAAATGGGGAAGAAAATACCATTATTTATCACAATATACACTATTATTAACTTAAGTCAGATGGTTGTGCTTACCATCCCTTCTGCAATGCTTCTGAGAGCCTATGTGTGTTTAGGAACAGAAGTCTGTCTGGGCTTGGGGATGGCAACTGTCTGCCTAAATCATCTTCATAAGGATCCAAGCACCTGTGTATTGTAGGTGTCCAGACTGGCACAATCCTGTATGAGAAGTTGTCAAATGCATGATCCTCAGCATCCTCTTGATTATTAGCCATAGCCAAGATGAAGTTCTGGCATACCCTACTGCTATCCTGTAGAGCTCATCAAAAAGGCATGTGATTTGAACTCTGCCAACTGTCCCAGTTTTGTACAGTTCTTTTCTTGAAAGCCATCTTCCTATGTTTTGTCCTAATATAATACACAACATCTTTGTTGCCCCTAAGCAGTACCCCTATCAATTTCCATCAAAACATCTATGTCCTATTTCAGATTTCCCTCTATCTTTGCTGTTGACTCTCCTAAGGGTAGTGAACTAAATTTGACCTGACTGTGTGTCAGCACTAAAACATGAAAATAGCTTCCAGTCTCTGAAACTAGTATCACACAAAATACTTAGTCCTGCTCCTTGGGACAGGATGCAGTGTAGAAGAAAGATGAATAACTGTCAACATGCAGCTTGTAGCATGATGTGACCACAAAAAAATACTGCTACTTTGTAATTTCCTGGAAGGTAAAATTACTAATGATTCCAGTGGAGGGGCACAGGGAATAAAAATCACACAGCAGGATACACACATATATGAATTTCAGATTTAAAAGATTTGCTAAACATTTCTATCAGCACACAGAGTTTAGGATAGTTACTGAAATTGTAACTGCAATCGGGTAGCAAAGGATGAAAGAACAACTGCCTGTTTGCCCATTAGCTGAAACAAATTCAAAGCTGGAAAAGCCTCGGACTTCCTGGCCTAAAACATTCCACTTCTTCACAAATGCAAAAATTTAAAAAAAAAAAAAAAATGAAAGAAGTAGGTAAGCAAGAAGCAGCTACCTGACATCATCATATCTAGAATAAAAAATCTGGTATGTCAGTTCTAATCCAGTTATGTTGAAGTGTTACTATTCTATACAAATAGCTGAAATACACTGGAAAGTAGTTATTACTCCTCCTCATTACCACCGTTATTTGCAGTAAAAATATAAAGTATTTTTCCCCCAGAGGATGAACAAAACCTTACATGAGGGTAACACTATTCATAAGAAAAGAGTAATTCAGAGTTTTATTTTACTTGCACCACACAGTGATGCCCCAGCTATTAGGAGAGAGCTAACTGACCCTGTAGTTTAAGCCTAGTGGCACATGTTTAACCCAGAATTTTGATGGTGTTCCAGTTTGAACACCAAACTTCAAGTTATTTATGGCTTTGTTAATCTTCAAGACTCCTATCAGCTGAGAATTTTAATAGATGGTTCATTAAATCTGAGAAAGGAGATAGGAGAGCTTGTTCTATTGGCTAGAACAACTGGAAAGAGAAGGTCTTCATAAATTTATTCTGGAAGGAAGATTTGACAGAAGTGGCTTTGAGGTATCAGAATGTGAATATTTTCAGGGTATGTATAGACAATTCTGTTGCCAATTTTGACTCAAATATTTCTTTCTCAAATACTGAGACAACTTGGCTTACGGATAGGTTGGTTATTCCACTGAGGTGATATATTGTGGCTTTTTGGTGTCTTTTTTTTTTTTTTTTTTTTTTTTTTTAATGGACTATTCCCATCTTCACATATTTTCGAAAACACTAGGAAAAGTTCATTGGTGAGAAGAAAAAAAATGAAGCGTACATACTATAATGGTTTACAGCTCCTCTTCAGAGCTGGTAAGAGTAGAAGCAAGACTGAATTTTGGTCTTGTCTAATTTACAAGAAAGAGTAACAATGCTAGGCATACCATCACAACTTAATGTGAATTACTACATCAATGCAATTGTGTTATGGAAAAGAAACTGAACAATAGACAGTCAAAATGATAATTGCAAAGAATGTGTAGGCAATTCTCTTTTTACAACTGTGAGTTTAGCAGCTCGATTGTAGTGCATATATGATAGCAATATCAAACACAGAATGTATCTATTGAGACCAATTGCCTTTCCTGTAATTTGGAGAAGAGTACTATTCAACATCACTTCAGCTCCTGAGAGACTGTTAAAGGAGATACTCCTCACTCAAGTAAGGGTGTTGCTGTTTATAAAATTCTTGCAAATATGTCAGGGGAACTGTAGCAGATTTCAGCTACTAGACAATGCCCTGTTATCAAAAGATTATTTCTTTATGTAATCTTTGTGGTCTTATCCAAGAAGATTAGGGAAAGTTAGATGAAGTGTATTATATTGTGCATGGGATATACTACAATAGGTTGCTGTCAATTTCTAATAATTTCCTTTCCAAAAAAGTCCAGCTCCAAAAATTACAGTCTTCTTCATACATCTTTATAGTACAGTAAGGGAATAGGAAAAAAAAAACTAAAAAGGAGAATAGAAAAATGCAATTAATGCTGAAAGGAACTACTATAGTCTCAACTGATAGTGATTCTTCACTCATGAAAACCCGATATATTTTTCAAAAGCAACTTCTTTTTAGAAGGAGTTGGGGAAACATTCTGCCAATGCACAAAAAACTTTAAAATTACTCAAACTCCTAGGAAGCTGTTTACAACTACGGAAGGAAAGCGCCTTTTTTTCCGCATAAGAGAAATACACTCTGCTTACAATAGTTAAACAAAAAAAATAAGGTTCTTCTGTTCACTGTTCAAATAGATCAATGAATCTTTAAAGAAGCAATCTTTCTTACCTCAGCTGTGGAAACAAAGGAGTCTGTTGATGCAATGCTTAATGTATCTCGAAGGCAGAAATCATCAGTATTATCCTTTACGGTAATGTCTGTATTTTTATCTTTAAAATAAAATTAAAAAACAACAACCAAAAAACTGATTATTAGACTATCAGAAAATTCCATTTAAGTCTTGAAAGTGCGTTTCATGTATACTTCAATGTAGTACTTCAGTTGGAAGGTACAACATTGTACTACTATGAGAGTAAATTCTCCTATGACCCACTAACTTATATAAATGTTTTTTCTGTCTTTAAAGTGGACTTACAAACATTATCTGCAATGAATAGAGAGAAGAAAAATATTTCCCCAGGGGTTTGGCCTTTTCTTTGATAGACTTCCGAAGATCTATCTAAAGATCTTACTTTGCTATATTGATCTAAACTCTCTGTTAAGTTTTTAACTTGGCCATGTTATATAACAAATGATCAATGCTTTAGTAACCAAGAAATACTTTTCTAAATAGAAGTCCATTAATAAAAAACAGGTTTCAGCATCACTTGAATGAATTTCATCTTCTACTTCTCATGCCTTTTTTCATTGGCTGGTTCTTCAGGAGAACAAGTGAAGTTTTTAATCTTCACTGTATCCTCTTTCCCCAAAAAGCTTTTCCACTGAAATAACACAACCTGAAGTATTTCCTGTTAGTACTAGAATTCTTAAAGCATTTAAAGTAGCCCGTATTTTTTGCTTAAAATAATCTGCAATACAGTTTTTCTCAGTTTTCCTTTATTTTATTCTGATTTCAACTGCTGCACATATTACTAGCATGCATGGCTTCGTTTTCACCATAGAGAAACACTTTCACAGAAGGATTAAATTCACAAGTCAGTAAGTCAGACTTTGGCTTTATGTGCCCCATACTACACTCTCAGTAGAGCACAGGCATTTATTTTGGGTTACTTTACCTTCAGACATTACACATGTGTTTCTAAAAGTCTGTTTTATTTCCAATAGTCACCAGCAACCAGCTACCCAATGTCATCCAGATCTGTTGCTACGGCAATACTTCATAAACACTGTTACATAGCAAAATGGCCAAATGCCAATATACTGGAATGGTTTACTCATCAATTGAAATGCTACAAATCCACATAACTTTACTATTATTGCAGTGGTTGTTATGGTTTTATTAGTTATGGACTTGGAATGATAGTTCAAAAATGGCACATAACAATAAATTTCTGTCTTTGAAACTATCAACTGAGAGGAAAAAATTATTAAAAGTTTGGAAAAAGATTTTACTAGATTGAGTTATGCAGATTCCTACTTGTAATCACAACACCAATACTCGTATTAGCATCTCTGATTTTTTTTCTGGTCATTCTTAATAGTTTGTTCTTTCTTTTGACCTCTTAAAACCAAGAGGAAAAGTACAGCAGCATCCAAGCTGGTTGAGAAACAATCACATACTGGAATCTGAAGAGCTGGAACAGAAAACCAAACTGTGGTTTGTAAAGCATTTGCTTGGTCTGGTTAGAGCAGATGGGTAGCGTGATGTTTCCTTATTTCAAGCTCATAATTTGCATTAATCCCCTTCTAATATTACATGAAATGCTTTTCTAATATAACTTTTTCACAGAAGCAGTTGCTGAATCTGCAATAGTACTGTTAAACATAGGATGTACAAGGTTGTATAGCCTGGTTGCAGAATTTTCCACTGAACCTCTCCTTTTGGCTGTTTTCCATAATAAATTTGCAATTAAAACAGAAGTTTCTACACCTCACAGCCAGAAAAGCCCTCCAGCACCTGGTTCAAGTGCCATTTCCTGATGGTCCCAGTCTGTAGGCAACGTGCAACACTTACTTCATGAGAAGTAAACATCTATATTCACAAGTAGCAATGCACATTACGAACTCCTACAAGAGTAAAGCGTAGGCCATACTTATAAAGATCTTGCTGATGGCTTTAATGAAGATGTTAAGGTAAGGACCCAATGATTAGGTACTCAAAATGCAGCTGTCAAGTAGTCTCATATCTCAACATAGTCACAATCCAAGGTCTCCACCACCCTCACAGGGAAGTCCCAACTATACCATGGACTGAAGACTCAAAGTCTTTGGATACTGTCTGATAATTTCTGTGCTGTTGGTGTTATATATGAGTTTATAGCTCAATGACAATATATCCCCAAATGGACACTGAAGTATTTAACACTGGGCTATGTCACTGATTACATATAAATGGGAATAATGATATTTAACTAACATTTATTATAAATATATGTAAAAAAATAATTGGTGTATGTGGGTGTGTATGCCGGGTCGCAAACCATCTGTGTCACTGACAATGTAAAAGTGTCATCAGCATTCAAGTTAGAAGATTAACAATGTCTAAATTAATGACGCACTTGTGTTAGAAGACTAACGGTGTCTAGATTAAGGATGGCTCAAAGTGAAAGTATTTTTACTCATTAGGGAAGAAACAGATAAGAAAGGAATCTGTAGAATAACAAAGCAGAAATTTATCTACCAGTTGTGGAGGCTTAGTAGCGCTTGTTGAAAGTGCTGAGAGGAACGAGTTTTTGAAATGAGCATGCGCCAGAGCAACACATGGATTTGCTGTCACAGGAATATATAAGGGCTTGTTTTTCTAATAAAGATTGGAGCTTGACTGTTAACCATATTGGTGTGTGTCTTGTTTCACAGCCTCATCCTGCAAATAAGGGGGTTCCTGCTACAGGTGTAAATGAAGGAACTACAGAATTTCCAGCCCAGAATACTACAGAATCAGAGGTTCTTCTGTAAAGTTTGCATTCAGCCTGATACAGATTACATGAAGCTCTAAAGATAGTAAGATTTTGAATATATCTATATTTGCTGAAGAAGTCATAATTCCAAGTCTTCTAATATGGGCCTAAAACTGTCACCTAACATGTCAGTTGAATATGGAATATCTCCGCTTTCACTCAAAGAGAATTCTCACTACTACAAAAAAAGGCACAAAAGTGGCATGTTATGACAAAGAAAAAAGATAGAAAAAAGGCTGCTAATGCTGAGTGAAATAATACCTTTGGCAAGTGATATATGTGCACACAAAGCACAGCCTCCCCAAAGAAAACAAAACAGCCTTATCAGCTATTTCCAACTTTCTGGCCACCACCACCCCGAGACCCTAAAATACCCTTAGCCAAGCAGGTGCTCATCAATACCCACACTGTGCAGAGAGCACACGATTCTGAAAACGCTAGAGTGGAAATTAAGTTACAGCTGAAGTACATACCATGCAAGTACCAGGAGAACATTATTAGACACAAGAACATGAAAAAAAGAAGAGACAGCAGCACAAGGAGACTCCTGGAATGAACAGCTGCAGGAGGAAATCACCCACCAGCGGCTGCAACTGCTCATGCAGTCATCCCTGGTTCTTACGCAGTCTAATACCTTCAGGAAAGGAATACTAGCGAGTATGTGAACTTCAAATATATTTTACTTATGTGAGAAGCCAGGGAGTTATTTTGGGTTCATTTATATTTGTAAAGAGGATGAAATAGAGTTTCAGACACAATACTGACAACAGTAACTGCCATCAAGACTCTTGGTTGTAGTGCCTTAAAAATGCATACATGGTTCTAAAGTTAGATTAAGGACATTAAAAAAAATCCTAGCTTTCCAAGATTTTGCAAACAAGTATCTATTTGAAACTAAGCAAGCTAAAATAAAACCCAAACCAGAACAAAGCTACTTCCACATCTATTCACAGAGTACCAATCTAGAATATTTATTTGTCTTTAGTCTGGTAGGTCCATGTGTTAAGACTGACCACAAAACTAACCCTCTAAACTCTCAGAGAAAAATCTGACCTTTGAGGTGGAACTGCACATAAACTAACTTTTTAGCATACAGTTGGGAAATAGTCACCTTCACATAATGTTTTAAAATGCTGAAAACTGTTTACATGTTATCTTCCCTCCAACCCTGAATGAAACATGGCATGAGTTCTTAAGGGTGTTTGGCACTTATGTGCAGAGGTTAAAAAAGGAAAGCACTTACCCACTGTCAAAGAACCCACTGGGAGTTAAGGAATTTAGCTCCATGGTTTAGCTATGGCTTCCTATTCTCCCTAGCACTCCCACTTCAGTGAAACATCAGTGCAGTAATATACCACAAGCAGGAAGACAGGTGAGAAAGGAGAGACTTGATAGATTCTGAAGAGGTAAAAACCTTGTAAAGGAATCCACTTATAAAAAGTCAGTGTACCCCAAGAGTAGCAGGGTCCCAGTGTTCTGCCAGGCTACCACACAGTCAGTCACTGTGTTGTGTGCTAGTCAGGGCCCCTAGATGTGTGGCTTCATGCCTAGAGAAAGGAATTACAATAATCAAGTTCAGAGAGGACAGAAACATGAATTACTACATAATTCATTTTCAAGAGAATGTGTCACAGTCTTCTAGTTAGTCACAAGAAGCACAGTGGTTTGTCACCACTTACTGAAGCATCCAAAAGCAGCTTTATTTACATTTAGAAATAGTCATAACTCTGAGAGTGTTGACTGAATATTCATTAAAAAAAATCATCAGTCCTACCAAGTAGCTACTAATGTATCACATGAAGTCTTACAGGATGCACCTAGAAAGCAGTGAGTTTTACTTTATGTGTTTTTTTATAAAAAGAAAACAATCCCAACCTTCAGATAGCACCTTCTGATGACTGGGTCATACAGCTACAGGTTAAAAAAAGGCAAGTCAGTAATGGAGCAGGGTATCCACACAGACCATTCTGAATTTAACAATTATTGGTAAATTATGTGTTTACACTCTCCAGTAACACAAATATCTGGGTTCAAGAAAGTGCCTATAGCTGGAGAAATCTCACCTCACTGCATATAAACAAAGCTGTTACTGACTTTAGCATAAAAATATATTTAGGTCAGGGTTTTTTTTTTAAATATTCAATCAAATCTTGTACTCTACCAGTATGTTAGCATGTATCATGAGTTAAACATGTCTCATGGTTGTTGGGACCACTCTGATGCAAACTGAAGCAATAGATTCCTTTTAAAAAAAAATAAAACAACACTCCTCCCACTCCCACCAAACCCACCAAAAGATACTCCAGTGCTGT